ACTTGAATGTACGGATTCTATTATTTAATTTATTAGAATATTAATTCAATTAAATAATAGATATTGCCATACATGCATCAATTATATATATTTAAAGTGTTTATGTCCAAAGTTGATTGGATTTAGGGCATAACACTTACATATTCAATACAGGAAAAAGGTGCCAAACTAACTAATTGTCCAGCTGTCAAAGTCCATCTGGTAAAACAAACTAACAAGAAAAAACTAATTGAGCACTGATATAATGTGATGACACGATATGTTCTAATACGCCCCCTCAAGGTGTGCCATAAATGTTCTTGACACATATCTTGGACATCAAAGGATTTAAAGAAGTGGCTGGAAGGGCTTTTGTGAAAGCATCTGCAACCTGATACTTAGAACGAATAGGAAGAAGTTTCACTATGCCTGCAGTTATTTTATCTGGGATGAAATGACAGTCAATTTCAATATGTTTTGTCCTTTCGTGAAAGACAGGATTGGTGGCTATCTGAATGGCAGCATGATTGTCGTAATAGATGGTAGCTGGTGATGTGGTAGGAACCCCAAAATCTTTCAGCAGCTGATAAATCCAAAGAATCTCACTAACAGTGGCTACAATAGCTCTGTACTCCTCTTCAGCAGAAGAACGAGAAATGGTTTGCTGCCTTTTCGACTTCCAAGACACCATGGAATCTCCAACAAAGACACAGAAACCGGTAGTAAATTTTCTTGTATCAACACATGACCCCCAGTCAGCATCAGAGAAAGCATAGACAGTTAAAAAGGTTTTAGACAACTGCTGTGAAGAGAAGAAAATGCCCTGGCCAGGATTCCCCTTTAGATACCGTAAGAGATGATGAATTGCCTTCAAGTGCGGTAATCTAGGCTGTGCAGCAAATTGACTCAATTTATGTACCGCAAAAGTAATGTCAAGCCTTGATAATGTCAAATATATAAGCTTACCAATCAGCCTGCGATATATAGTAGGATCTGGTAACAATGCACCTTCATGAATGCTGAGAACTGACTTTGTCTCCATAGGACTAGTTGCTGACTTACAATCCATCTAATTGGCATCCTCCAGTAATTGCAAAGTATATTGCCTCTGAGATATAACAATCCTTGAAGCTGAACGTGCAATTTCTATCCCCAAAAAATATTTTAATTGTCCCAAATCTTTGAGCTTGAAATGGGACTGTAAGAAAGCTTTCAATGAAGCGATCATCTATTTGGACTAGTGATTACAATGTCATCCACATACACTATCAAAGCCAAGAAGTTGACACCACTGCCATTAGTGAAGAGGGAATAGTCAGCCTTAGATTGATTGAATCCAAATTGAATCAGAGAAGTGGTGAACTTTTCATTCCACTGCCGGAAGGCTTGTTTGAGTCCATAGATGGACTTATGTAACTTGCACACCATAGCTTCACAGGGAAGGAGATTATGAATGTGAAATCTTCATTGCTCAAGTAAAAAAGTTACACGAAGACACATATATACAACACAGGAAAAAGGCGTCAAACTAACTAATTGTCCAGTTGTTAAAGTCCAACTGGTAAAACAAACTAACAAGAAAAAAATAATTGAGCACTGATATAACGTGATGACACAATAGGTTCTAATAGATAGCAACAAGTTCGTACTAGTCTATGAGTACATGAACAATGGCACCCTCCACGATCATCTTCACAAACTTCAAACTTCTCCATTCATGTCATGGTCAACAAGAATTAAGGTAGACCTTGATGCAGCAAGAGGAGTTGAGTACCTCCATGAGTATGCTGTGCCACCAATTATTCACAGGGACATCAAGTCATCAAACATACTACTTGACACCACGTGGACTGCCAAGGTGTCCGATTTTGGGCTATCGTTGATGGGTCCACAAGGTTGCAACATATGACAACTAAGAGTGACGTTTATAGTTTCAGGGTCGTATTGCTTGAGTTGCTATTAGGGTACAAGGTAATTCACAAGAATGAGAATGGGTTGCCAAGAAATGTGGTGAATTATGTAGTTCCATACATAATTCAAGATGAAATTCATAGGGTTTTGGATGGGAGGGTGCTCCCTCCTACACCATTTGAGATTGAAGCAGTGGCATATGTGGGGTACCTTGCTGCAGATTGTGTCATGCTAGAGGGACAAGATCGGCGGCCATCAATGAGGGAAGTTGTAAATAGCTTAGAAAGAGCCCTAGTGGCATGCTTGGCACCCCCGGTGTTATCTCCATCTACCACAGACTCCTCAACGTAATCTCGGAAACCTTGCAATTATCTCGATTTACCAGTTGACTCCTCAATGTAATCTCGGAAAACTTGCAAAAATGTTTCGTTGGCAAGAGCCCCCAGAGTGTCTAGTCCAAGAGTAACGAGCCAATTATCACGAACAGGCTCTAGGACTAAACTAATGAAACCATCTATAAGCCAGACTCGTATTTTAGGAGCAATATTACGGGTTCAATAAGAACATCAATATTACATGGAAATTTTCCAAAGAAGAAAGAACACTACTCTGTTTTGGACTAATCTTTTTTTTTTTTCTAATTAATTTTGTTAGTTTAGTATTTATTATATAATGTAAATTTCTACCAACTACACAGGAGTTACTGAACTGTGCAGCACAGTTCATTTTTCTCTATAATCTTAGAAATTCAAACTCTTCCGTTTCTATGTAATTTCTCAAGTCAACAAAGTACAAAATTCAAAATAAAGAAATTGCCAATTCACCAACCGCCGAGTTGTCACACTCGAGACCGGGAAGTCCCCACTATTTAGTATTTACGCGGCACGCGACTTTGTCAACATCATTGTTTTTTGAAATTAACTTTCACGTGGAATAAAAAAACGTAGATAGTCGAGTAACGATCACGATATAGATATATTTCAAGACAGAATCAAACTTAAACAATTATTTGCCGAAACTTTTGATAAACCGTACATGACTTCGTCAATATCATTGTTTTTAAAATTAATTTTCACGTGGAATTAGAAAACGTAGATAGTCGAGTGACGAGCACAATATATTTCAAGATAGAATCAAACGTAAACAATTATTTACCGAAACTTTTGATAAACCGTGTGATCAATTAATCTGATTTTTTTTCAATTGGATTAACTAATAGAGTGATTTCGTCACTATTTTTAGGGTGGAAGTAGAGTGATTTTATTCAAGATTTGTGATATTTGGAAGAAGTCACGCGGAAGTTCCCCCATCCCAATCAAAGATTTAAAAATTAATTTAAAGAAAAATGTCAAATTGAATTGACATAAGATACCAAATGTATGACTATGACTTCCATAAAAATTATGTGTATTGCTTACTCAAATAATTTGTTTAATTGGAGTTTGCAAGTAGCATACAATTCAAATTTTATATATTAAAATAAAATTAGTTTTTTAACTAACTAGAAAACATACTAAGATGTCACTAATTAGATAGAGAAATGAAGATGTAAATTTTATTTTTGAAAATTATCGTGTTTAATTTAAAGTACCAAACATGTCATAAATCACAAACGAGAACATTATTGCCTCGAAAACAAGCAAGTGCAATAAAATCAAGCATTAACAGTTTTTCTTCTTTACAATGAACTCAGCAATAAATCGATGCCAATCAACTTGTATGTATGAAAATGGAAGCAAGATAAAGTCCATCGACAACATGTTTGGTATCGAAAATATTGAAAATAGTGTATAGTACAATAAACAGATTTGTAACATCTTGCTTATTTGATCTCATCATGCAAAGTATAGTCCATCTTACAAAACAAGCCACAAGAGCACACAACCAATACACGTAATCATCTCGATTCTAATACCATCCTTCGCCATCGGCATCCTCAATGCACCTTTTCTTGACGATTTCTTTGGTGTTTCACACTGCCACTGAACCTACCGGAGCCTACATTTGTCCAAGTAGATTTCTCAACGCGTTGTAAATCTCTGTAAATACGTCATCCTTGGAAAGATTTCCATCCAGCTGCAACCGAAGAATAATAAGATACTTGTGAAGTAAACGGGTGAGGAAGATGCAATTTAGCTCCTAGTAAAAGTAATTTGCATTTAGGTATCAACGTTAGGAGAAAAAATAAACTTACGTTGTTTCGAGGCAGGAAGAATAGAACAGTTACACCGCTTATGATAAATGACTCGTTAATCTGGTTCATGTCAGGATTTGGATTATTACACATTAATCAATCAAAGAGAGATTCAACAACTAAAAGAAACATCGACTTTTTGGAATCCTCCCTTTCTTCAAAGTTCAAACGGAAGGAACAAAGATAAAATCATACCGATTCCCGAAAGCCTCTCTAGATATTCCTTAATGTCCCGGCTATTCACGGAACGTGAGAAGCTCGTCTGCTTCCTGGAGAAATCAAAGAATTTCTTGGGAATCTTACGAGATCCGTTCGTTCTTTTTTTTGTCTGATGGATGGTTAGAACTTCATCTGGGTTCGAATCCTACTGAGAGGTCCACTACAGATCAGACCATAAATGGTTGATCCATGAGGTTCGACTCGGACTTCCGAGTCCGTATCTGTCAAATAGTTGACCGACATGCAAATTTTCATCGTCGAGAACCACATATAAACAATTAGAAGGCTGTGTACTCAGCCTAACTTGTGAATTCCCGTTAAACTCATGTCTCTAATTGGATAAAGCAATCAAATCCTAATTTATAAATTGTCTTTCATCCTCGTTGTCTTGAACTTTCTCATAAATTCTGTGTGTAATAGTGAGATCGTGGTGAGCAGTAACTGTCTTGGATTTAACCACATCATTTTCACGAGTTATCTCCATTGTATTCCAAAAATCATTTACATTACGGTCCCCTCCATTGAAATCTTCGTCATCACCTTCAAGAAAATTCTTCCTCAATAAAGTTAGACGAACAGTAGTCGACTTGCGGCATTGGTTCAATTTAATTAGAAATTTCATTGGCACTTCAGAAGTAACTTTCACGTGTAATCGGAATGGTTGAATGCTTGTGAAATAAAAATCCAAATTCTATATCTTACTGAAAGGGTTCGACGTTGAGCATGTTTTGTATATCATGGTACATTTTCGTAAATGATATACTCGATGTTATCAAATTTCCAATAACCCCATCTTCACTTTTCTATTTTCATTTCTATCGACCATTTTCATTCTTTTGAAATTCACCAAGGTAACAAATCGGGACACATACTGATGTCATATCTGCATTATGAATCAAAATATTAAGAAATAAATAAGGAATTAATCAACAAGCGTAAGAAGAGGAGAGAGAGAGAGAGAGAGAGAGAGAGAGAGAGAGCGGCCGGGCCGGGCATCCGTCAAGGAACGGTAGGGCCATTTGGCACCAATATTATTTTTCCCTTTTTTTAAAATAAATTTATCTACGTATGTTATAGTATTTGTCGAAATAAAATTTAACGATTTAAAAATATACTAATTTAACGAAAATTAAATTAAATATACGTAAATATACTTATAGATTCGAAGTGTTAGATATAAACGAAATGTTTTTGTTGAGCGTTTGATAAGTTTATGAGATTTTAAGGTTAAAGCTGATGAAAAATATAAGAATTTATATCTGTGTTGAAGTAAACAATGAAGAAAGTGACTTAATTTTAAAATTTTTAAGTGAGAAACGTGTGATTTTTACTTTGTGATTTAAAGGGTGTTATTTTCTTTTTAAACAAACTCATGTATCTGTAATTGTATAAATGCTGATTATATTACCACTACAAAATTGACTTGTCAAACCACAATTTTTTTTTGTTTACTTAAATAACCGTAAGGGTCCGTTTGATTGTAAGGGTGGAAAATTGGTAGAAAGAAAATGAATTTCAGGGAAAGTAATTACCTAAAAAATGAATTCCAGAGAATTGTTAATTAAGTGTGTTTGATTGGTATAATTTTTCACCCGAAAATTTTTTAAATTTTGTGTTCGTTTGGCCTTCGTTTGCATCAAAATTGTCCATTAAAGTGATAATTTTTTTCCATATTTGGTTATAAAATTTGTTTCCATTACCAAAAAGTTAAAAAAAAAAAAAAACGAAAAAAAAATGTTTCCTAAAAAATCATTTTTTTATCAAAATTTAGTGTTCGTTTTGCTTCAGCTTCAGCCACTCGAATTTTCGATATTCCTTTTTATTTCTCATCAAACGAATGGCATCTTCTTCTGGAAACCTTCGTTTACATCAAAATTATCCAGGAAAGTGAAATTTTTTTTACACTTGGTTATGAAATTTGTTTCCATTACAAAAAAAAAAAAAAGTTACAGCAGCACATGGAATTCATTTTCCNTTTCCATTAAAAAAAAAAAAAAAGTTACAGCAGCACATGGAATTCATTTTCCCACCTAAAAAGGTGGGAAAATGAAATCTACAAATCATTGAATTCAGGCGCGTGAAGGCCTTGCCAAGAAAATGTTTGGGCTAGAAAATCTACCCCATCAAACACCATACTTTTAAATTTACTATTCAACATTAAACAATTTTCATTGACATCGCAAGCTAATCAACAAATTTTTAATATACGTATCCCATAAAATAGTGTATCTATATCATTCTTTCCCCCAAACTCCACGCGATTGGATACTCACGGACGATGAAACGTATTCAAAGAAAAGAAGACATTGACCAAAGATAGAGAAACAATTGCTTTTCATCAAATAAATTACAGTGAAAAGATGCCAAAAATTTATTTTTACCCTACCTAACTATTGAATATTGGGCTCCAATCTCACCAAATAACCGAGCTCAGTTAACTTCCAATCGACACCACAATCACAAACCAAGTCCTAAACCAAAACCCCCAAACCCGGTTGCTCCAAAGTGCCCACAAAGGGCTGAGTGTGAATGCTACTGATAGCCCCAAAAACAGCCACAAAGGCTAAGTGAAGAAGAGAAGAAGACGGCACAGAGCCAAGGAAAGCACAAAAGCCAAAGGAACACTCTTTTGTCTCTCAAACATACGGTTGTCCACACATTCACACTAAAACCAACACAAATAGTAATGAGCAGCTTATATAAGCCAAAAGGGTGGGCTTTAGGTTAAGGTAAGTAAGGCCCAAGTAAGTAACAATAAATAGGCTGTCAACCCTAAAGCCGTCCAAGGGTAATGGGTCGGGCCATGAGTAACACTAACACAATTAGGTTACTTCAAATGGCCTGAAGAAGTTGTAGGAATAGTTTGTTCGATTGTGGTGTCGACATTTCACTTCACTCATCGGCCGAAGTCTATTAAGTATAATCCAATAAATCGGTT